CTGATAGGGTGGACATGATGTATGTTTTAGATACTTTTAATGAAAGTTTTACTGATGTTAGTGTTAAAGGATTTGTACCTCTTGTTTAGTGAATGCAATAATTGTGTGTGGGCGTTAGATCACGTGACCTAAAGATGGCTTGGTTATGGAATCGAGATCGCAAGAAGGAGAAGCCCAGTGGAGCAAAGGAAGGTTCACTGTACAAAGAGAATGCAGATCAAATAAAATATGATGTTACTTCTTATCCTCCTCTTGATCCTGGTCTTCCTCCTGATCCTCATCATCAGTTCACTATTGGGTCAATGGTACGTGTTGATGTACAAAGAGGTGATCCATTTTATGGTGTAGTACAGTGGATGGGGACACTGCCTGACTACCCTGGAACAATAGCTGGAGTGGAAATGGTAATTATAGAATAAAGACCTTTGCTATGAGTTTAAATCATAGGAGAGACCATTACGAGATTGTACTGATGGTACATGGCGTGGAAGAAGATTCTTTACTTGTCCTCTTGGTAAAGCTTACTTCTGTCCATTGACAGCCCTTAAACAAGACACAAGATATATGGATGAAGAACAAGTACCAGCACATATGAGACAAGATATTGATAACCGTATGTTAATGCAGTTTGTGCTGCAAATGACAAAGCATGAATTATCATTTTGAATTACAGTACCCATGTGTAAAAATTAACAGCTATGTTGGGTAGCAAAATTCAATGGAGAAAGAGTATAGAGTATAAAGAATTTGTTTGACTGGTCTGTAACTTTTTAAGCTACAATAGTTGGTCAAAAGAAACAATGAGTGCTACTAAGCAAGCTAGATTTGGTGCCGGCAATGTGCAGCTTTACTATAGCTTGCTTTATGCATATACCCCATTGATGCACCATAGGGTATGCACCGATATCTAATTCATTCTCAGCTCCGCTAAGAGGGCTATCATTATCTTCTTTATAGCATTAGCAAAGTATTCACCAGTAACTGAAGAAACTGACACTATGGCTTCTCCTGCAGAATTATTCAATTTGTACATTGGTGATGCACGTGGTATTCAAGGTCATCATAATTCATGTTACCTTGATTCCACTGTGTTTGGATTATTTGCACTCTCTAATTCATTTGATGTTTTGTTATTGGAAGAACCAACTGAAGAGGTTGGAAGAAAAGTTAAATATTTCCTTTGGAAAGGAATTGTTAATCCTTTGAGAAAGTGAGTGTTTCCTAAACTTGTTGTATTACTGTTTTTTAAAACTGGTTGCTATAACTGGTTTTTCCTGTATAATAGGTATGGATTAGCAAGATTTGAGTCAATAATGGGATTGAGAGATAGTTTAGAAGAATTTGGTAGAATGAAAGGAGCCAAAACTGATGAAAAAGGTAAACTACTTACTGTGACATCATCATTATTATTATTGTTATTATTATTATTATTATTAGATCCTGAAGAATTTCTTAATCTTTTGTTTAAGGAGGTGCTTCACATACCTCCATTTCTCACTATTAAGTAATTAATAATAATATTATTATTAATTAATATTGTATTAGACGTCCTTTTGGAATTGAAAAGGAGTATTTCATTCAGTTGTTTTTTGAGATTGATCCTAATAATACTGAAGTACCTAAAACAGAGAAACTGATAGCACAAATGTTTCATGAACAAAACATCTCATTCACTAGAGTAAGTTTATGTTACTTATCATAACTTGTGATAATTATGACACTTGATGTGTAGGTTCCTTCCAAACTGTTGCTTCAGATGCCACGTTTTGGTAAAGAATTCAAAATGTACAGCAAAATAATTCCATCACTGACACTTGATGTGAAACTATTAATGGATCCCAGTAAGGAACAAATAGTATATTGAATTTTTTATCAATTCCTTCTTGTATAGGTGCTAGAGGTGGTCAAAAGTGTAAAGTCTGTTTAAGAGATTCAGTATCTTTTGTTTGTTACAATTGCCCAGAAGTATTCAATAGTACTGATTACTATATTTATTATTGTTCTAAGTGTAATGAAAGACTGCACAGAGAACGTAAAGGTCATCGTGTAGAAGCTGTCAATATCAAGCTGGGAACCAGTGATGCTAACATTTTGTCAAAGATGGAGTTGCTGTCAGTGATATGTATTGAGACCAGTCATTATGTGTGCTACACTAGAGCAGGAGATAAATGGCTGTTTCATGATAGCATGGCTGATAGATTACGTATGATAAACCACTATTGATTTATTATTATATTTCTCCATTCTACAGATGATATGTACAATGTTCCTAGAGTGGTTGATGTTACTGCTGGGTTACAGGAGTGGATCTATTCCCCTACTGCTAGTGAGGATCAACTGATGAATACTCCTGCTAGAGATATACCAGAATATGTTCGTATATTCACTCAAGATATTTACATGTGTGTATATGTTAATCCTGACCTTGATATGTATGGTGACAATGATCCTGAACAGTCGTTTTCACCCAATAATTATTATTGACTTTTTAGCATAATTACTTTATAATTATTATTTTTATGCATTATTAATTTACCGGCAACCCTTCCCACAGCTTCTTTAAATTTGGGGGCCGGGCTTCATGGCTTCCATTTTCATGAAGGAGAACCATGGGTATAGGCAATCAAAAGAAGAAAACCCACCAAGTACTAAAAGTAAGGCAAATTTTGTTGTAGGAATAGATCACTGGGCCAATATCAACAGGTCCTTCTGATCCTCATCATCAGTTCACTATTGGGTCAATGGTGTGTATTGATCTACAAAGAGGTGATCCATTGTATGGTGTAGTAAAGTGGATAGGGCCAGTACCTGACTACCCAGCTGGAGCAATAGCTGGATTGGAATTGGTAATTATAGAATAATTATATCATTTCATTACACGTTTAAATCATAGGAGAGGACATTAAGAGATGGTACTGATGGTACATGGCGTGGAAGAAGATTCTTTACTTGTCCTCCTGGTAAAGGTTTCTTCTGTCCAGTGACAGCTCTCAAACAAGACACAAGATATATGGATGAAGGACAAGTACCAGCACATTTGAGACAAGATATTGATAACCGTATGTTAATGCAGTTTGAATCATTATTCATCATCTTCTTTATAGCATTAGCAAAGTATGCACCAGTAACTGAAGAAATTGATACTGTAGGATCTCCTGATCTATTCAAATTGTATATTGGTAATGCACGCGGTATTCAAGGTCATCATAATTCATGTTACCTTGATTCCACTGTGTTTGGATTATTTGCTCTCTCTGATTCATTTGATGATTTGTTATTGGAAGAACCAACTGAAGAGGTTGGAAGAAAAGTTAAATATTACCTTTGGAAAGGAATTGTTAATCCATTGAGAAAGTGAGTGTTTTACAAACTGGTTTACATTAATTGCTGGTTATTATAACTGGTTTTTCCTGTATGTAGGTATGGATTAGCAAGGTATGAGTCAATAATGGACTTGAGAGATAGTTTAGAAGAATTTGGTAGAATGAAAGGACCCAAAACTGATGAAAAAGGTAAACTACTTACTGTGACATCATCATCATCATTATTATTGTTAGATCCTGAAGAGTTTCTCAATCTTTTGTTTAAGGAGGTGCTTCACATACCTCCATTTCTCACTATTAAGTAATTATTAATAATATTATCATTAATTAATATTATATTAGACGTCCTTTTGGAATTGAAAAGGAGTATTTCATTCAACTGTTCTTTGAGATTGATCCTTTATATACTGAAGTACCTAAAACAGAGAAACTGATAGCACAAATGTTTCATGAACAAAAAATCTCA